TTATTATTATTATTATTATTAAAAGACTACTTTGCATGTTACTAACTTTCTGGAGAGTTTGGACAGCTGTAATGTTTATTACCTGCAGGACAATGTGGAAGTTCTTCTTTAGGAATGCTTGTCATTCTTTGGAAGTCATCATGACAAGCATTGCAAAAATGTGTTGTCCCAAAACAAAAGAACACAGCCACTGAGCAGCAATAGCGGCATTTGTACTCTAGAAAATCTGTACCATGTTTGGGACACATCTGTGAGGGAAAAAGAAAAAGCCACAGGTTAAACTAGTGTGTGAAACCTGCATGTAGAATGAAAGTTTGCTCTGTGTTTTGGAAAGATTTTTTTTAATTCAAAGAAAAATGTTTCCCCACCTGAGCCCTTGAAACATCGGAGCAGGCACCACATATAAGCTCTCTGGGATCATAGTCATCGCCTTGGCCAGCCTCAGCATCACAACGTGCTTCTCCACCAAAATAAGCCTACAAGGAAAGCATAAAGATGAATATCAGAGCATGTATGCAAAAAAGTTCAGATAAATAGTTTTTTGTGGGTTTTTCGGGCTGTGTGGCCATGTTCTAGAAGAGTTTCTTTCTGACGTTTTGCCAGCATCTGTGGCTGGCATCTTCAGAAGTTCTCTGAAAATGCCAGCCACAGATGCTAGCGAAACATCAGAAAGAAACTCTTCTAGAACATGGCCACACAGCCCGAAAAACCCACAAAAGCCTATGGATGCCGGCCATGAAAGCCTACGACTTCACTGATAAATTTTAAAAATATCGTAAATTAACTTCTAACCTACTGGAAAAGTCAAAATGTGCACTTAACTTAATAGGATGTGATAATAATTTGAGTTGTGATGGTTAAATGTGATGGTTCACACCTCCACAGCCCTTTTTGTGTGATAAGGTAGACTGACTACAGTGCAACAAGAATTAGATAATTAACTGCTGGAAGAATTTCATGGTGGAAAGGAGAAAAATATGTCCATTCTTAGTTACTTCTTTCCCTGACTCTGCTAAACTACATAATTTTCTG